TCTGTATTCGCAAAAAGAAAAGGAGTACTTGTGGCACCTTAGAGATTAACCAATTTATTTGAGCATAAGCTTTCGTGAGCTACAGCTCACTTCATCATGAAAGCTTATGCTCAGTACTCCTTTTCTTTTTTCAATTAACTAAGAAACTTTGAAACTCCACCTCTAAGCAGGAAGATAAAAGCTCCCTAAAAACGCAATGAATTCAGTTTGTTAAAGTCAAGACATTAATCTTTTTGACATGGAAGACGTAAACCAAATGTTTAAATGAAATGACAGCCTCAGGTTAACATTCACCGACTGAGCTACAGAACAACCTCCCCACACATTTTCAGATCATTGAAGAAGACCCCTGCTGGTTCTCAAGGAAAACTAACTTGCAGGAGCAAAATAAATACTGGCATTGCGGCACAACAGCTGAAACATGCAAGCACAGATGTGTAGTATTGTCAGCTTTTAAAATCAGATAAGGAGTATTCAGACATAATCACTTTAGTGTCTGGGCCTCATTGCATGCTACAGAGCTACCCAAGTATGGCCCTACAGACACATGTAGTGTGTGTTCTGTCTAAACGGCAACAAGCTGATGGGATTTCATAACATTATTGTTATGTCTAGATAGGCTAATGTTTGTGTAATTTAGCTGTGACTTTGAAATAGCTTTAGAACTTGGGACACAAATGGAGTTTTATGTTTAGTTGTCAATAATATTATATCTACTGTATGTCAATAATTCCCAGTAAATGCACAAGTCTAAGTGTCTTCCTTCAGACGTTTGCCTTGTAATACTACCTGAAGGGTGCTATAATTACTCTGAAGTGAACTGCCTGTCATATCTTGTTGCTTATACACTAAACAGTTGCATTCATAAGGATTAACGGTCTTCGGGAATGCTGTGCTGCAAGAGGCAGTGCGCCAAACAAAACAGACTAGGAGTGCACGCATGCTGTTATGCAAGATCGGTTGTTCAAGGAAATCTAGCAGTTTCCTCATGTCTGTCACTGCGGTTGCCCATCAGAATAGTAGGTCTGCTACAGGGCTCCTCCATCACTGTCCCATTAAAATGTATGTACCCACACCTTTAAAAAGACATGGCCTTGGGCACGCATTGAAGTGTGGCACACAAGGGGTTATTAACATCTGGTTTCAGACAAGACACTTCTAAAAGTGCAAAGAGTGTGTATTTAACCTTACAGAAATATGGCTCACTGATTCTGTGGTAGTCCTGTTAAGACATACAAGGTATTTCAGCCAGGGACAATTTAAGTTACACACACCACATGATTGTAAGTAAAGAAATATTGTTGTTGGGGTTTGGGGGGGGGAAAGGGGTGAGGAAATCTGAGTATTTTTTTAGGTCTAATTTATGGCTGAGCAGCTCCATTTTAGTTACTTCATGAGAATATTTTAAACCAAGCCGGCATAATATTAAAATAACTTAACATATATGTAAAATTTATGAGAGCATGTCAGGTGTAATGCTTGATAAAGTAAGTTTAATGCTTCAGAATTTATTTTTCTTCAGGCAGGAAAAGCTGAATCCTGCAATTCTAGGTTGCAGTATAATTTTATAAATTGTTTTTCATTACACCATTCTTTTATTAATGACATCCAGCCCAATTTAAGTAAAAGAGGTAAATTTCTAAAGAATTTGTGGAAAGTACTAGCATGTTGGAAGACAGGAGTGCATTCTTGCAAGTGTAATAACAGGAGAATTTTTCTGTGTGTTCATATTATACATCCAATCTCATAAAGAGACATGAAAGAAATCCATCTGCAGCAAACTTTGTATGTGTGTCTCTCCAGTGTGGTCTTTTTGCTGGAAATGCTCCAACATTCTGTGAACAAATAGAAGGTTTTGTAGCTGACAGGAGCTGTACATCACTTTGAACACTCGTCATTTACTGTGGGTGTGTTGTGTTGTTACATTGTGTGACACTCCATATTATCGTGACAGGACTAAATGACAAAGTCCCAGCTCTCTACTGAAAATTCAGAGCATCTTATTTCCATTTTCTGCCTGCTCACGTACTGATATTCCAGGTGAACTAATTCAGTGGATCAGCAGAGCAGCAATGGGAAATATGTGCATACTTCTCAATGGCACTGTATTAAAGATACAGCACATCAGTGATATTAGATCTGAATTTACCTCCATCAAACAGAAACCTAGCATTATCTCATTCTTCTGTTACAGGGTGATACCAGAAATGTTGAATTTTGAAATAATTATAGAAGAAAATTGTACTTGGTAATAGCCACTTTCCATCCTTCCCTTTGAGGATTGCAAAGGCCTTTATAAACATTAAATATTCTAGCTTTATCATGCTCCTGTAAGGGGCAATGGAAAACTAGTATTCCCCCTTTATGGATGAGGCAGTGAGAAAGAGAATGATTTGCCCAAGGTCACATACCAAGTCTGCGAACAGGTGGGAATAGAATTCCGTTCTGTGCCTTAGCCACAAGATTGTCATTCCTACCAAAAAAGACCCTGCATTCCATCCAATTTCAAACTTCTCTGTTGTTTACTTCCCTAGATTTTAAGACTTTACCAGGGTTTTGAGTTATTAATATCGATGAAGATTTGTGTCAGACTGATTACAGCCAGTTTGCAAATATTTTCATTCATGACACACCAAATGTCCTAGCTTTACTGAACAGAGCATTTCCAAACAACCATGGCATTCTGAAATAAAGTTGGAAATGAGGAAGTGTCTGATTTGATATTCATGACTTCTCCAGCCTCTTTTTCTGTGTTGCCCCTGAAAGAGGAAGATAATGCAATGGTTTTGTTAACCTTTACTATAATAACCTTTTTTGCTCCTGCTAGTTGATTGGATTGACTATTACCAAACAGTTCTTAAATGGCATTCCAACAACATTCTCAGTGTGCTCTGATTAGTTATCATGTCCACGAAATTCAAATCTGGCCAATTAACTTGTGTATACCTGTTGCCTCTCCTATTATCATGTAATTACTCTAAAAAGATATCAAACAGAAGGATAGCTTCATATTCAGGTGCCAACTTAATGTCATTTGTGCAAACTTTTGTATTCTATCTCTTTTCCTATATATATTTTCCAGGAGTCTAACGTATAAAGTCTGTGTCTTCTGATACAATACCTGTCTCATATGTGTCTCTCCAAAATCACTCTGAATCAATAAATTGCCCACCTTCCTTGTACAGTATTTGTAGAGTTTCAAAGACAGGACCATTACTGTTAAAGTTGAATTGTCAGGAGTTGGATGAGAATATTCATGTTGAAGTACTATATAAAGATATATTCAGAGATTCTGAGGAATTCCTTGTGATATCAACAAGTCTATAAACTGAACCTTTTGTGAAATTTGGGTTGAAATTTCCAAAGTCTTTCATTCACAATTTTTCACATACATTTGCACACACTTAATATATAGTATGTACACAATACCAAAGGCCTTATCCAAAGCCTACTGAAGTCAATGAAAAGACAGCATTGTGTCAAGCCCCTATCGAGAGGCACATGTTGTCAGTCTGATACGTAACTTGCCATAAAGATACACAAATTCCACACACATTGTTTATTTATAAAGCACGCATCTTTAGGTGCTCTTCTAAAAATGAAAAACAGGACAATTCAACAGTTCAAAACACTATACCTGAACATATTTGCCCACAACTTATTATAATTGCACAAGAAAGATATTCTGAAATCCAATATTGCCCATCTAAGCATGCCCTAGCCCCTTAATCAACACCCTCAACCCAAAATGCATTATTCTTAGGTGCTCAGCTACTACAGTGATAGACATTAGATTACAGCACATTCTAAAACCTCAACAATCCAGCCCCGACAATATTCATGCTCATATACTGAATTAAACAACAGTCAGTCCATTCCAAGTGCTCACAGTTCCTGGGAATGAACTCTACGTAAATGTGGATTAGCTGTATGGCTATTCGGGTGCTCTGCTGGGTCAAGGTAAAATCAAATCCCTATTTTTTAATAAACTTGTAATCATCACCGTATGTTTGGACTATTTGGAATTTTCATGACAAAGATATAGAGAGGGAAAGTGTGTTTTTCCATGTGATACTGCCTGTCCATTAATGTTGCAAGATGATACAATTTTCCAAAAATTTCTCAGCATGCATGTGTTGTATTACATTAGGAAAATAGTATCTTCTACTAAAGCACTGGATAGTATTCAATATATTGAGCATGATGCAAATTTAACTTAAATGGTAAGCCATGTTCTAGCATAAATATCAAATGATTTACATCTTCTGATTGGTGTTTGTGTTCTGAATAAGATTAGACAATAGGTATGTATGCATGTATGTATGTATTGTATTGGAATAGTGCTTAATAGCTTCAGTCATGCTTAGGACCCAACTGTGCGAGGTGCTGTACAAACACTGAACAAAAAGATGGCTCTTGCCCAAAAGCAATGGTACAATAATTGTCAGCATACAATAAGTAGATACCATTTTGACATGAGTGCTCTTGATGGAACTTAAGTAGGCAACTTAAATTAGATGAAAGGTTCTACTTACTGTGTGCAGTACCAATTCATTGTGACTCTTAGTGTGAACTGGATTGGGGCAGAGAGGGAATAAGGGTTGAGCTGGGGTTATGGGTTTCTTTTCTTTTTTCCTTTATTGTGGGGGAAGTTTGAGTTGGGATTAAATGAGGAGAAAAGTGATGGTTAACTGAAAAGAAAGTAAAAAATATCATTATTTTTATCCTTCTTTTATGTAGGCTGGTTCTTTGCATATGGTACTTCATACTCCCTTGCAACTTTATCATATGTGGATATGTTATAATATTAAATTCTGAACTATTAGCAAAATCTCACCATTCTCTGTCCTTAACTAATGAACCTTGTGCATTTTTTTACCTATATCTTTACCTGGTTTAAGGAGTAAACAAGTATTTTAAAACAATTAAAATCAAAGCGAGTCTAGCTTTCCATATATTGTACCAAGTGTTATCTTTTAAAAATGTCTTTTTATTTGCAGGGATTGTTTTAGGTCTTTGTGACATGATTGACACTGAGCTGAGAAGGAGGACATGCACACTTCAGTCTAATAATGTGTGACAGGAGAGACGCAAAGAAGACAGGAAGAAGGGGATAAAGTGTGGATGGGGTAATACTGACATTCCTTCAAACCTAGTATCATAGTGTTCCTTCTAAATTATCCTGCTTTCTTTTGTATCTTGCTCTTTTGGCATTAACTCTGCTTTGACATTTTTCTGGTCATTCCATAATACTCCTTCTGTGTATGGAGAGCACTGACAAAGGTAACCTCTGAAACATCAAATAAAGACAATCTAACTAATCTGCCCTTGAACAATGCAAGTTCAGGGTACTTAATCCAAAATACATAAATCTCCTTCTGAAGAAGTGCGTGTGCTGTTTACTACTGCAGCCAGTTTAAAATGTGTTTCTTTGCTTAACATTATGAATAACAATATTAAAAAGATTGCTGAGGGCTCCCTAGGCTAGAACATGGTCACTTAGGATGACCAGCTGGAACCCAGTCAGGTAAAGTAACATCTGCCTTAAACTTTTGTCCAGAAATATGCTTTACCTTTTTAATGATTTTGATTTATTTTGTAGTACCGCTGCATATTCTGTCAAAGGATAGAAGCAGAAATGGTCTGATAAAACAGTGAGAAGACTGTTCTCACTTACACCTGGTTGCTATAGTCATAAGAGGGAGTTCCGCACCTGGGGATAGCCAGATCCTTTGGTGACTGCACCCAACCTGGGAATTCCTTTATGTACACAGATGGAATCCTCAGATGCCCAGTTAAGCCTCTTAAGCCACTGTGAGCCAGGAGGGTATGGCATATTGCTGCTACACTGATGGTATGCCACCCTGCGCTTCCCTTTGCACCACTAGAGCCATGTGAAGGGGAGAGTGAACCAGAATCTGCCCAGAAGTCTCGAGTTTAGTGCCTCAGTCCTGTACTTAGTTTGTTACTTTGTTCCTGGTCATTGAAAAGAGGAAGGGAGTGTGCTTTTTTAGAGCAAGGATAGAGGGGTAGAGAGACAGATGGGCAGTTCAAGCCAGCCACATAAGCAGCAGGCTCACAAACAGTGTGTTCAAAGGGGCAGAAGCTTTGGGCTGTGAGACCCTCTCGCCATGTCTGGGTGTGTGTAGAAGGGGATTGTAATCTAGACAACAGCCCAAGAAGCTCTTGAAAATAAGCATGTCTGCAATTTAATAACGCTATTTTTTTTAAAAAAACCCAAACTCCATTTTTTCTAATGTTCATTAAGAGAAAGAAGGCAGAGAGCTATGGGGCAACAGCCAGCATACAATTCATTACCACTGCTGCAACACACAGCTAAACAGTCATGTATTTATTTTTCTGTATGTGTAATTGGTGGAGGAGAATGTAAATTCTCTGGCACTATGACGGAGCCTGAAGAAAGCCTGTGCTCCACAACCCTGATGGTCCAGATGTGAAAACACCCCACAAATCCCAATAAAATGAAAAATAGAAATAAATACTATAACTATCTGGTGTAGGATTTGAATGGCTTTCTGAATCGGTAAGTGCTTATCATATGTCTTTGTTATTTCTACACTCTGTAATGTTGGCTCTCTGAAAGTCAGAGACAAAGTAAGATAGATACTACAAGTAGCAGAGAGACTGCACTGAGAAACCAAGTATCTGTAGTAGATCCAGATTTATGGTAGATGATGGCAGTAAAGTGAAAGCAAAACTACTTGTCGTGTTTGCAATGTTGCCCATTACTGTGTTTGCCCTTTTTTCTTGGTTAGCTAAAGCTGAAAAAAAAGGAAAAGTGTTGCTTATACATAGTGTTAAGAGACACTTTTTGACAGTAAGGTCAATCAGACTAGTTTACCTAGTTGAGGTGTTTATGGAAAAATAACTCAATGTCTTTAAGGAATGGTTAGCTACATTTATGAGAAAGGTGTGTGTTGAATCCTTCCAGCTTCATAGAACTCTTGGCCAAGACGACCCAGGAGGCCCCTTCTGAGTCTATCAACTGTGGTTGCATGATTGATGCTTTCTTTTACAGTATTTTCAAAATACAAAGCACTGTTATAACCTTTAATGTGATACACAATGTAACTTCAATGCAATATCTTCCAGTAAATGGCTATCCAGCAGCACAGAATTCTTGTGCCCTGGGAAGAAAACAAGGAAAAATAGCAATGCAGTTTTCCTGCAAAGGCACAACATTTAAGGTATTTCCTCCTATTGGGCATAGATTGTGCATCCCTTACTCATGCTGGCAGATGCTTATCCCACATGAGTAGCCCGACTCAGGCCAATGTATCAGTGTGAATAAAGGTTGCCCAATCTGGCCCTTCATTAGGTATTTCCAGAAGAGCTTACAATTTAGTAGGTAGTTTCCAGGGACAGGTCCTCCACCCTGAAGAGTTCATATACATAAGATGGATCCTCCAGCGGTCTTTGGCTTTGGGAGGAAAAGTAGCCGAGTGGTTAGGGCACTAGACTAGGAATTGGGAGATCTGGGTTCAAGTCCCTGTTTTGCATCAGACTTCCTGTGTGACCTTGGGCAAGTCACTTAGCTTCTTCATATCTCAGGTCCCCATCTGCAACACAGATATTATGGAAATGAGAGATAAATATGTGCCCAAAGCTGAACTGGCCACCTGAGGATTCTACCTGTGTGCAAGAACTCCCTGTGCTATACCGCATATGTAGTAACACCTTTGCTTTCTCTTACTGTGATGCAGGAGGACTGCCGGCATCTGCAGCTATCAGAATGGGCCAAATGGAGTGGTGATCAGCTGGTGTCATGCAGAGCAGCCTGAAGGTAGTAATGAGGAATTGCACATTGGAAGCAACATATCTATGCATCCACTAATATCGGGGTGTGGGAGGGGATAAAATTGCCACCCACTATATTCTCGAGCAATTCTTTGACTAACAAAGGGTTTGTACAGTGTAAGGGTATAAAAAACATAAGTGTGAAAAGAGGACAAGGATGGATGTTTTGTTACTGAAACTTCCATGAATGGAGTCTTTGTACCATTCTGATACCATTCAAGAAGATCTCACAACTGATCATCAGATAAAGCAAAATCCCAAGCAAAGAAACAAACACATACTCCAGAATATGACACTTCCAGAGCACTTTTCTGAGAGTGAGGGAACTGCTGGGCAGAATATTGTTAGAGGACCCTTACATTAACTATATTAAGGACTCTGAGGAATAGATCCTTGGCAACATTTTCTCCTACTTGAATCAAAGATACCTCCTCACAGCCAGCTATTCTCCCACAGGGAGTGGCGACCAAAGAGCACTGAAGATAGATCCTCCTGAGAATGAAGGTCTGGCAAGTCAGAGAGGATTAGTGAAGTACCTGCACATGTGTCATTAGGGGACAGGAAGAAAAATGTGAGGGGAAAAACGTACAAAAAAGGTTTTAAAAAACCACTTATGAAGGTGAGTTATTGCAGCCAGAGTGGGAGACTGGGATCAGATGTTTTAATATCCTTCTTGCCTAATTCATAACATGGATTTAAAAATCTTAATTAAACTCTGAGGCTCCAACCATGAAGTCTGGTCTGCAGGATCCAAGGGACACAGAGACCAAGATTATGGTGCCTTTCAGAGTGAATCACCACAATCACCATCTTGGAAGCTCCATGTTGGGAGAAGAAACCACAACAACCACTAGCTCTTTCTTTCTGGCATCACAGGCCAGATTTTTAAACACAGTGGTTGCCATTTCCCTGTCTCATAATTTTGTGGAAATAGTCGGGTGTCTCCATAGCTCATTGTGCCTTATTTTGTTAACATTTTTCCTATTTCACCTCACTCCTTCCCCCCCATTGAAATTCTGTCAAAATTTTTACATTTGAAAAATTTAAACCAGCTCTAATCATGATGTTGTTGCTGCTTCTCTTTATCCCCTTCTTTATCCCAGTGTCATATCTGGAGTAACATGCTGACTTGGATGGCTGCTTTCACCAAAGCTGATTTTGCATCAAGTGGAGGTTTAAAAGCCAATTTGGCTAGTGATCTCTGTTATCATACAGAGCAATTTGTGGCATGAAGATTTAGTTTCCTTCTATACAGTATAGAGAATTCCTGGTGACAAGCAGCTCTCCAGTCTATGTATTCACCAGCTGGATTCTACCCAGAAATCAGGGTCAGTACAAGGTCGGAGTGTTGAGTCTTTCTTGGGCTGATCCTTCCGAATGTCTGAGAGGGCTGAAATGTTTGAAAGTAAAATATTCTTGTTTCATTAAGGTGTTGAGTTTATGTCAGAATCATAAAAAAATGATGTCAACTAAATCTTCCAACTTTCTCACTTGAGATCTTGGTTTTTTAATATAAGAACACAGATCTGAAGAACTAGGTTCATCCTTGCTTCTCCTGCACTGTAAGTCAGACAATTAACTGCTTTAATGCCCCTGTCTCTCTGGAATTTTCCTGTCAAAAGAATTTGCACTTTGTTCAAATTTCATATGACTGTTCCACTTTCACTTTTAGAAGCTATAGACACTTAAAGTCTCTTCTGGGCAATGCAGGGTGTTGGGGGATGATATCTTGGGTAATCTTCAGATAAAGGGCTAAGGAAGCTGTGAAGGAAAGTGGTATTTACCCACCAGATAACTATCTGCAGTCTTTCTCCATCTTCTTAGTGGCTGCCCAGCTCTGTGCAGCCAGAAGGGGCACGGTCAGGAAAGGGTGAAGAAGTTGGAGAACAGCCACTCAGCATGGCAGGCTCTGTCAGGGCAATGTAAGTTATGATTCGTGGTTAGGCCGTGCATCAGGTGTAGACCCAGCCATTGAAAGCACAGCACTTGTGCAAGCACTGTAGTTCTGGAAGTTTCTCAGCTACTCAGTGCTGATGAAGACTGTGTAAGGACTAGACTACAATATTGCTATGACCGACTGGTAGGTGGCTGTGAGTGGATGTTCCCAATGGCCAGACAACTGCCAACACAGTATTGCCATTTCCTGTAGAACTCCACATAATTCATGTGAGAAATTATGTCCATGGCCCCTAGTCTCTCATAAGACCTGTTGGTCCTAAGGGGACAATGTAGTGGCCAACAGCTCTTTCAATGCTGCATACGGTTGGAGAAGTATGCTTGTTTTCTCTGCCATTTACATGCTTAAGGGGGAGTGTTTGTCCCTAAATCAGAACTGTTTTAAACTTTCTCCTAGCTGTAAAGGATACAGTAATGTGATACATTGTTACTCAAAGCAAGGGGATGCTGTGATACAAATGTAATTGTTTTTTCTGTTTGTTTTATACAGTGTCAAAAATGTCCAAGTGCTTCCAGAACGTGGTTTTGTGTATCTGCAACAATGACAATGCATGTAAAAGTGGAATCTCATCCATTTGTTGGGCTGGCTGCCAGACTAGCAGCACAAACATGTGGCTGGAGAAAAGATCCTGTTAATATTCATCTGATAACTGAGTTGTTGAGAGAGTGGGAAAATTAGGCTATATTCTTTTAGGACAGTTAAACCACATGTGGCTAAAACTCAAGGAAGACCGCTAAACAATGAGAGAGGACATACTTCTCCCCATATCCCCCACACACATTCACACACAACCGATGACAGTTTTGGGGGCTTCTGATTTTCATAAAGTGTTATCTGCTGAAAAATAATTTCTACAGCTGAGCTACCTCCCTGACTCCTGGACCTTTCCTCTCTGCAGCTTTATTGTCAAGGCATTCAGATACCATAGAGATGAGTGTAGATAGAATGTAGATAGACAGACTCACAGTCCATGGATCTATTGACGGCACTGTTCCCTCTAAGCTGTGCGCGTGGGCATGTGCACACAGATCCTAAATCCTGCGCACATGGCGAAACACCCCGCGCACAAAAATTTGCACAGAAGTACAACAATTTGCGCAGAAGAAATTTTTGCGCACACGGCCTGTCAAAAATTAGAGGGACCATTGATTGATGGACAACCACTTTAAACAGGAAAAAAGGGGGGAGGGTAGATATGCCATGTTAAAGATACAAAAGATAAAAATTCATGGATGTACTTGAAATTCCACCATCCTTGGCTGTTTGGAAGAGGGATGGATAGCCATAATCTGGACTGTAGCTTATTTGGGGCAAGAGAATGTGTTTCCTAGTTTCCAGTCAATGGGTAAGTCACTTGAAATAATAATAAGCATCATGTGTAAATAATAACAATAATAATAACACCCAGCCTGACAACAGACTTCTTCCAGGCCAGTCTGATGCTACTCTAAAACCAACCACAACATAGAGTGAAAATAAAAATACTATGCACATACAATAGCTACTTATAATGATCTCAAAGGACTTTACAAGCATTCCTTAATCTACCCAACCAAAACGTTATACAGCAGGTGGGTATCATTGTGTCCATTTTATTGATGGGGAACAGACACCTTAAGGTTATATACAGTTAGCCAGGTACAATGCCTAACCTCAGGCTTTAGACCAATGAGTGAAAGGAGATAAGGGGGCTCACTTTGATCCTGAGGACTGTGTCCAAAATCTCGGGATTTTTTGGTGGTACTGTAACAGAGTGTCACAGTGTACCACTTCCTGAGGTTTTGCAACAGGAAGGGTGATGCTGAATAGAAAAGAAGAGCAACAGCAAAATGAATCCTATCTTGCAGATTGCAAAGAAGGTTTCAGAGGAACAGCCGTGTTAGTCTGTATTCGCAAAAAGAAAAGGAGGATTTGTGGCACCTTAGAGACTAACCAATTTATTTGAGCATGAGCTTTCGTGAGCTACAGCTCACTGATGAAGTGAGCTGTAGCTCACGAAAGCTCATACTCAAATAAATTGGTTAGTCTCTAAGGTGCCACAAGTCCTCCTTTTCTTATTGCAAAGAAGATTCTTGAATGTTTGCACCTCTTCATTACTCAAATTCACCTGAGGCAAGGGAGAATGTTGTTTTCCTGATTTTAAATAAATCATGGCAAGTCCAATGCAGTGCAGTGCTGAGCTCCTTCAACACCCACTGGAGAGCATTTGGTATTTTGCAAGATCAATCCTTTGATGTTAATTGTTTTTCTTTTATCACCCCCTCCCCCTGACCACCACCACCACCAAAATTCTAGAAAGGATTCCATGAAGGGGGGAAGGGTTGTAATTCAGAGGCAGAGCAGAGACTGCAACCCAGGAGTTTAGGCTACCAGCCCCCTGCTGTAACTGATAAATGATGCTTGTTCAGAGTAAACAAACCTGGGGGATGCAGAATAGAAGTATGTTCATACATCTGCCATCCTAGTAATTCTTCAGGCATACTTTTACTGTTCTTCAATGCACTCTATGTTTGTTTGAAGAAACAATGAGTTTCAGAAAAGAGAAAAATAAGAACTTTAAGGATAACCAGAACCCTGACTACATACTTTACCATAGGCAATGTAGAATAAGCTTCTGTACTCTTTATTTTTAACACTCCAGATATGTAATTTAATGTGGGTCTAATGGGTCTTGAACATACAGCTTTAATTGAAATTGTACAAGCTCTGGACTGTGACAAGAGCTCACAAGCTACCAGCGGGGCTGTCCATTTTCCCTGCCTCTGCAAGGAAAAGAAAAGGAGGAAAAAAGAAAAAAAAACCCTCTTGAACTTATGTTGCTATTGATGTGTAATATACAATAAAAAAACAGTTAAATTTCAATTACCCACAGGTAATTATAATTTTATTGTTTGACTATAGTAGGGGGATTTTTATAATTCCCTAGACTAATAATTTTCTATAATTTTACAGGTTGTCAAATAAACTATTAAAGATTATCTTTGAAAAGGATTCTGCAATTGTAAGGACATATCATACTGTTCATGTACATTATTAGTAATTAGAGATCCCTGGATGGTGAAATCTCTGCACTGTATGCTAGCTGCTGGATACCATATTTTCTCACAGCCTCCTGTAATCTTGAACCAACGCTTTCAAACTTCTCATCCAATGCAACCATTGTAGTGGAATCACATCCAAACTTTTATTAATATTCACTGAGTCTCATTAAGCAATTCTGGTGTGTTCGATAAGTTCCATCTGTGCTTCTTGATGTAAAAGGGTAATAGCAAAGGCAAACAATTCCACCCCAACTCAGTGGAAACAGGCCCCAAAGGACTGATTGTGATCACAGCTGGAGGCAGAGAGCAAAGCTCACTGTGAATGGGGGAGGGGTAGAAGGGGGAGCTACTGAGACTTGGTGGGGAATGCCCTGTGCCCTTTCCTCATGGCAGCTGATGGTCTGTGCTCCCGACACCCTATCCTTGGCAGCTGGTGCCCTGTGTGCCTATATCCCCTTGCCCCTCACACCCCGCTCAGGAGCTGGTGCCTTGTCCCCTGCCCCAACCTGGTCACTGTCACATGTGTTCTGAATCCTGCCCCTCTCCCAGACCATGTGTCGTTGCCAGATGTGTGCTACCTATGCTTCAGCATCTGGCACAATCTTGTGCATCTTGGTGGCCACACCCAGACCCTCTTCCAGGTCCCACTCTCACCTCTGCGAGATATTATGGGGACAGAAAACAATGGGGAGAGGGGCTGGAAACATAATCAGCCTCTTCATATTTCCATTGTGGTGGCATTAGCCCCTCCTGTCCCCCCATTTCTGCCACCCTTGGCTCACAGTCACACCAGTGTGAGTCAGGACTACCACCAATGAAATCATTGGCCCACACAGATGGTTAGTGGATATGGTTCATTCTGAGCATAGATGGATACATTATTTTACCAATAACCCACCTCATCATAGGAAAATTCCAATATTCATTGATACAAATTGCAAATATAGTTGGACTACCTTAAAATCTGCATTTGCTCTGAGTGAAAACCCTCCAGCAGGCAGAATGGTTTGTAACAGAATAGCAGTTTCTCCAGCTGGAGATACTGCGTTGGTGCCCTTCATGCATGGGGAGTTCCTGCAGCGGGGGGGGGGGGGGAAGAGGGGGGTGGTGTTATTATTATTTGTGTTTCATAATGCCAGGGTAGATTAGAGCTCGGGGTTACAGTCAGTCCTGGCAGTAGAGTAGCAGCAAGAGTGACTTGAATTGCTGAACACAGTATCCAGCCAGCCAGAATCAGAAATTCTGGGGTTTTCCTGGCCCAGTCACCTGGAAGTTTGCGTCCGAAGTGACAAGGAGAGGTCATTCTGTGCAACATTGTGACATTCATAACTAAACTTCCAGATAATTTTGCCTTCTGCTCTAGTGCCCCCATTACCCAGTGATATTGCAGACATCTAGCGAGTGGACAGCAAATGTTCCAGTTTCTCTCCTCTGAGTAGAAAAATCAAATAACCAGCAATCACCAGGTGAGAATACCCTGCCTCTGTATGTGTATTGTCTTGCAAGTGGTGATAGTTAGCCTGACTCCTTCAAGGCTGTATTGGAGCACTAGGACAGGGTGGTAGGACGAAGAGGAGAATCCACTACATCATATACGCTCTACAAATAGGGACTGCCTCAGAGGGCAGTAAAAGTGAAATATTGCTCAAGGGACTAAAGAGTTCCTGAGATTATTGGTATATTGCCCGAGGAGCCATCAAAGGCACTATTTTTACCTGATGACAATTTTTTTTTACAGCTACTGCCTCTGGAGACAGTCATTATTTGTTTTATTAGCCTCTTTGGTTGTTATGTGCTGAAGCTCCTATGTTGAGGGGAGCTTCAACGCAGAAAGATTTCTTTATGTGCTGAAATCTCTCTGAGCAGAGGGATTTCAGTGCCTGAAGATTTTGATGTAGAAAATGTTATGGGTCTGATTTTTCATGGGGCCTCCACCCTGCCTCCATTTGTCCATGTGCCATTTTGCACATCTGTCTAAGTGCACACACACACACATAGATACATACGTACACACACACACAGTTATCAATCTTCACATCAAAATGTTATATGTGGTCATTAGGATACAGACTAGAGGCCTGCTCCTGGGGCATGCCAGGCTGCACTCGGTGCAACTCAGAAGGGTGTGTTTACAAAGATGCTTTTAAGCCACCTTTTACGTCCTGCCCCCACTCCTCCAAGCGGCTATTCTAGCAGCTGGACCTTGCCAGAGTGCTGGGGCACTCAGGCCATGCTTCATACACCAAGAGAGGGGGCGGCATAAATCTCCCAGCTGGGGATTTCCTTTACATGGGGAGATGTGGAGGGGTTGGACTGAGCTGCTTTTAAGGCTGTACTGAGCTATTGGAGTACCACAGAGCAGCTGTAGGGCAGGGAAGGATGAGAGCTATCGGACTATTGCCCTCTACCTCCTCTAAGGAAGACAACAGCCTCACTTTTAATTGATCGGCTTTCTTATCAAAATCCAAGGGTACAATATAAATATACATTGATTTTGATACATTTTATTGTGTGTATAAATAAATAGAAGTATACCATATAATTTGTTGGGGGGAGGGGAGGTGAATGCCATATCATAAACAGCACATCTCTAAGATGAATTTCAATTTTTTTGCCTTCTATGACTCCCTCCCTGCAATCTCCATTGGGCTGCACCTCACATTCCAGCAATTTGGCATTTAGAATAAATACACACATGAAAACACACACACATACACACACACACAGAGCATTAGATATCCTTGAAGATACATTGATACTATTTTTGTTGGATAACATATGATACCACTACACAATATATCTCTCTTTTTCTCTTTCTCTCTAATTTTTCTAGATATGACTATGTTCCCCCTCAACACACATCCTGTCACAAGTGGAACCTCAGAGACATCACTGGTGAAACAGTCTCACAATTGGCTATTGAGGCAATTAAAAAAAATAGAATTAAGTGATAAAATTAAAGCCCTACTTTCCTCAGGTCTGTCATATGAATACAAATATTGTCAGTTCCCATTATTATTAACTAATATAATTATTAATATTCCTAATCCCTGCACATTTTATTGAAAAGTTACCCTCAGCTCAGGAATATAATTGTTAAATCAAGGAAATGGTAAGTAGCAGCTAAGCAAGTCTAATATATTAATAACAAATGGCAGTTTATCCAAGGATTAGACTTTTACCAATATATAATCACCTCTTCGTTTGTTCATACATAAAATATCTTCCACCTATTCCAATTCCTGACTATTTATCCTTGCAATATACGGTTTTCAATAATTTTAAAAGAAGATCGTAAATAAATATTCTTAGCTGTTGCCTGCTTTACTTCAAGATAAGTCATTGTGAAAAGAGTTATGTGCCCTAACCTGAAGGCAATGTCAGGATCAATTATCTCACACCGGAAAACCTAATGCAAGATACTTTTGTGATCAGAATAATATGTGTAACATCATAAAGCTTTTGTTTTAATGTCAAGGAAAGCAAATCCACTTTCTCTAGATTACCTGACACATTGTCTCTCCATTCTGAATGTCACGGATTATTCTAATAATAAATAGTATCAGTTGCTGTCCATTTGAGCAGGTTTTCCTGGTGTAACATAATTTACAGTCCCTAGTGGAAATGGAAGTGGGCTGGAGCTATTTTCTAGCATTCTTTGTCATCTTATCTGCTTTCTCAGTAGGTTGGCAATTCACTTCTTACAGTAAGTTGTCTGCTTCATGGAAGTATTCACTAGTAGAATGTAATGTAGCTATATAGAAAAAAACAGAATAAGCAAAAAGTGCTTTGCTTTAAGGAGGTTTTGTTGTTTGAAGGCTCAGATGATAACATCTTAATATCATTTAATCAATGTTAATTTTATGTTACTATGAATTATTACCAATT